CTAACTATCAATAAGGGAAGTAAACTGACAGAGAGACTTAAAGAAGTTATTAGCTTCAAAGAAATGAGGTAGAGATAATGATCATAATAGAGGCAGCCAAGAGATTACAATGTGAAATAGATATATCGAGGCTAGAAAGTCTCTCCTAATTATCATAAATTAAGCACCTTTAAAAGGTGTAGTATGCTGTCCCTACTAGTTGATAACAAGTATCAAGTATCTTTCTATATTTTGCTTTCTTTATAAAACCAGTTCTGAGTCTCATTTCTTTGAGACTTTTAGTATTCTTAATTCTCTAACTTTTTATTTTGGGTACAAGCCCCACTTTAAAACACTTTAATAGCAAAAGAAATTTGAATGTGTCCCTTAATTAAATGTGGTAAAGGCATACTCTAAGGACCTAAACCAGTGTCATGGGCGTCCTAGGCTCATTGATGCACATTGGGAGTGAAGACTAGTCCGTCTGGTTAGATCACACAGAAGAGTTACTGTAGTTTAAATTGCTGAAAAAACTTAATGCTGGTCATTATAAAAAGGTGTCAGAACAGACAATGCATCACAGTTTACAGTGTATGGGGCAGTGTAGGTGCAGTCTGTTTAGAGTGCCCATATAATGAACCCTGTCCACCTCTGAAAGCGCCTTTAATGGGGACATGAACATCTGAACTGGACAATGGATCAATTTAAGAAGGTTGCCTAGTCTGATGAATCACGTTTTATTTTAGATCAGGCCTCCTTCATCAGGATAATGCACCCTGCCACACTGCAAAAAATGTTCAGGAATTGTTTGAGGAACATGACAAAGAGTTCAGGGTGTTGCCCTGGCATCCAAATTCCCCAAATGTCAATCCGATTGAGCATCTGTGGGATGTTCTGAAACAACAAATCTGATCCATGGACGCCCCACATCGCAACTTGGAGGACTTATTGCATCTGCTGCTAATGTCTTGGTGCCAGATACCACAGGACACGTTCAGAGATCTTGTGTAGTCCATGCCACAATGCATCAGAGTTGTTTTGGCAGCATAAGGGGGACGATAGGAAAATGGTTTTAATGTTGTGGCTGATCAGTGTATTTAGCCCCAACATATTACATAGCATGTGTAATTAGGATTTTTCAGTTAATTTCTCATTTTTACTTATTTGTTTTTGTTTTCATTCAAATTTTATTAACAACACACCAAAGTACAATACATTAAAACATAGCCTAACTAGGCGTACAAGGTAAAATATTAGGTTGTATTTATGACACACGGAGAATAAAAAAGGAAACAAATTAAAAAGCATAGGATTGTACATCCAGATAACACATATATGCAAAATTGTTTATTTGGAAGAATAGCAATCCCTCTCATGTAGCTAGACATGGGATTTGTTTGCCAGCAGCTAGATGAGGAAAAGAGAAGGTAAAATGTTGTGAACATGTAGTGTTGTAATTGAGTGTTAATGACATGGTATAATAGAATGGGAGGGGAAAGGGAGGGAAGGAGGAGAGGAAGAGAGGGAAAGAGAGAAAAGAAAAAGAAAGGGGAGGGAAACGAGTGGAGGAAAGGAAGGGTAGCCTGCACGCCCCATCTCATTCTTCAAGGTTACAGATGTCGCATACCCTCCCATAAGCCCTTGCTCTGAGGTCAAGCCCCCACTGGTATCTGATGAACCATCTCAATAATGATAGGATGCAGCCAGTCACAAAAACCTGAGGTGCCCGACTCAAGCCCAATCCCACGGACCTGGTGGACATCCACCGAAGTCAGTAGAACCATGTTGTAGCATGTCCGCCTGCAGCCAAGTAAATCAGTTCCTCGATGGACAAACATGTTCGTTTTGATTAGTGATTCTGAATTCTGCCTATAGTGCCAAAAAAATAGATGATTAATGTGGAAATTGATGATTGATGACTAGGGGACAATCACTAATTGTTGATTATAATCACAGATCAAGTGAGAATTGACCAATAAAAGGTAAAACAATATCCATATTTATATATATTCATGTATTATATATTTAAAACCTTTCTATAATATATCATTTATATTTTTATTGTTTCTTCTCTTTTTTTTGTATTGGTTGCTTTTTGTTACTTGATCTAGGAATCAAATGGTTGGAAAATGTGCAATGTATATTTTTTGCAGTTCACTAACTGATCCATTTTTGAGCCATTTTGGTTCTAATTAATTTATCAAATCTTTTTTCATTAACAAAATTCATCCAAGCCCAACTACCATATGGGAGAAATTTGGGCCTTACCACCTATATATATCCTTTGTGCAGAGGGACTTTGCCAGCATTTCACATCTGGACTGCCCCTCAAGTCAGTCTGATATGTAAATAGTCTAGGTTGTCTCTGTAAATGTCATATCCTGCTCTGTTCTCGGAGATGCCTGGTCTTGGCTTCTGGAATCCAGTACTCTTTTTACAATTATTGTTTAGTTTTTCTTGTTTTTTCTGGTTTTCTTTATACTGGGTTTTCTGGGTTCATTCCTGTATTCCGTTCCTGGTATTCCCACTCTCTTGGATTCCTTTAAATGTTTGTTTTATGTTGCCACACCTTTTCCATGAATCCTTTTGTTTCACTTGTTTCCTGCAGGCAGTTGCTACAAGTCCTCTGCCCTTTTCTTGCAGGTAAGTGCTGTGTGTATTTTATTATTGTTTATTTAGTCATGCATATCTAGGTAGATAGGACCCACCTTAATTGGAGGACTTTGAGGCAGTTGGTGGGTTGCATACATCTTGGCCATTTATGTATGTCTAAATCTCTAATGTTTATTACATATATAGTACTTAGTTTTGTCTCCTTTTGTTTTGCCTTGCATCTCTGGTCTTGTTTTATTTTGCCTTGTATTCCCAGTTCATGTACAGTCCTGTCCTGCCCTGTTCATGTTTCCCTCATGTCTTGTGTACATGTTCTGGGTTCTGCTTTCTGTCCTGCTCCAGTTCTGGGTTCATCTAGTCTTATCTTGTTTTCTTGTTTGGTGTCTGTCCTAGTCTGCCTTGTTTCTGTACTGGATACATGTCTGCTGCAGAGCCCCCCTATCTAGTTCCTGGGAGGTCTGAATATCAAGCTCCTAGCTCTTGGGATCCGCAGTAGCTGCATCAGGGCCCTGGTATGTGGCCGCACAAACGCTGGTGCTCAACACCAGGGGGCATGTGTTTACCCTGCACTAGCCCCTGATAGTCTATTTCTATGCTGAGACTCCCATCATCATCAGGCACTCAGGGGTCCCGGTTTCCGTACCGCCACCCGTGACAGCAATAGCATAAAATTAATTTGAGGCATCAACAGAGATTCACCAAAGGACAAACCATGAGGATGGAGCCTGACCTTGAATTGGAGCAGATGCCATTTCATATAGCTCTGCGTGAATCTCTGTTAAAAGCTTGTTATTTGGATGCAAAATTGTGTATTCACATTGCTGTTTACCTAAACTTACCTCTGAAAATCACACCACATTGATCTATGCTATTTTTCCACACTCCTAAGATGAATGGCAGAAACGCAGATCTGGGGCCTACCATCTACCCCCAGGCCTCAATCTCACTGGAGTGCTCAGCGGTCTAGTGCCTTCCAGGGTAAAAGTGGAAGATTCTGCACCCAGCAGTCAACAGCTCACACTTCCACTTGATTTGGGACGGAGTTCACAACCTGTCTAACCTTTGGAGTTGAGGGATATTAGGGCCCTAATCCAATGGCAGCCTCAGCTCAAGATAGTGGTGCCAGAGGTCCGCTCAGCATCGGATGCCCTGCAGAGCCTCATCCCGTCAGAATCTCCCCCACAGTCACTGGGAACAAAGAACATGCTACGCCAGACACACATGGTGGGTCAGCACCTGTCACTAAACAGGACTTCCACAACCTTGTAGTGGAGATAAAAAATTTGCTGGTGCCTGATGTGGTGATCATTAAGGCAGACTTACAAGCACCCATAGATAGAGTAAAGGCCTCTGAGGAAGATATTTCTAACCTCAAACATGGTCTGTTTTCACTGACAATCTCTGTACAACACTTACAAGTATCATACTTTGCCTTATCACTCCATTATACCGCACTGGATAAGAGGTCTCGCCGCAATCACCTAAAAATGAGGGGTATCCCTGATGCTGTCAAGCCGGAGGAGCTCCTGCACTACGGGAGGCGCTAGAAGTTCACCCTGGATGGGACTTATTATCTCCCAAAATCTGGTGAGGCACTTGCTTCCGCAGTATGCAATATCATCGTCTGCTGTGCGCTGCCTCAGGATAAAAGAATCTTGATGTCGGGACTGAGGGGCAAGACACCATATTTCTTCTAAAGTTCCAACTTCACATTCCAACCTGCAGTGGTGACGGACTTTAAACCTTGTTTCAAGCAAATTCAGAGCGGTTGGAATAAAATACTGGTGCATGTCACCAAAGTTCATTATGGTCACTCATAACGGGACAGTACAGAAGATATCCACACTTGCCGAATCACCGGCCCTCCTTTAGGCTTTAGGCCTACCTGTACCTCCGTCTGATCGTGACGAACAGCCAGGCACTCATACCTGGGACCAATCTCACATTGACCCTTTTATCCCTGTCAGTGGTTTGGCCCCCAACACCAGGGATTTGAACTTGCTATGGAAAACAGTGTTTAAAAGTGGTTCAAGTTCTCAAGTTTGTTTAGTTTAGTTTTTTTACGTTCACTTTTAAATCTTTTATGTTAAAAGCTACCTACACTAGCAGTAAACTCCTGAGAGGTGTCGCAGTACCTGGCTCCTTACGCTCCGGAGCACTGATGATATGGGTTTAGCCTATCCTAGTGGATGTTTAGCTGGAGGTGAAAGCAGATGAGTCAGGAGGCCGGACAACATTGAGAGTACTCTGACGTTAACCCATTCATAAATGGATTAGGTAAGAACCTTCCCAGGACCTCAAAACACCATAATGACTACATTGAGTTATAGTCATTTTTGTACCCAGAGTATTTCTTTCAAAAAATTTTTGCCTTGTATTCCCATGCCTGTAACAACTGCTAGTATTTTTGAAAAATTAATTCAACGTAAGAGTTTCAGAATGTGTTCTCTTGTTGAACTTAGTTTTAGTTTATTCAGTGTAATAATACATGCAAGGTTTTTGAAATAACAGGGTTAGCCCAGCAGCAATTCTGGGAAACATTTAGAATCAGACTTACCTCTGCTAAAACTTTCAACCTTTAATGTGGTCATTTTTTTTTTTCTACCCATTTCCACGTTTAGAGCAAGAAGAGCTCAGATGTATGTGCTCTTAAATTTATTCATTCTAAGGTTTCATTAAACCTAAAGTTTTAAACATACCAATACCAACTAGGCAAAATGTATCAAAGAATCTATATTATATGTAGTCATATCTAAATACTGTGTTATTTTATATTGTGGAAAAAAATCATTTTACAGCTGTGCAACCAAAATCTATTTTCATCACTGTGGTACGTTTTAAGCTTTGTGAGGCTAGGTTAATCTTTGATTAAATTTTCGATGCGTCTTGCTGGCAGTAGAGATCTGATGACCAATCTGCTGACTGCGTACACTGCAGGTACTGTCAGCTTGATATTTGACTTTAAAAATAGAGTTCAAAGCTAATTCATAATTGGCATGTGAGGTTGGTATTTCTAGGGAATCTATGTACAAATAAAAAATAGCTTTATATACATAAACTTGTTATTCTATATTCTATATTAACTTTTTGACAAGAGTTGTACATTTCAAGCAATTGTGAAAAGGAAGCTAACGTAAAACCGTTATTTCAGATCAGAGCAAAAGAATACTTGAAGGCATTTTGTATTCACACTATGCACAAACAGTTGAGTATGAGAAAAACCCAATTTAATCCGACTTTAAGCCATGGATTAAACCATTTCGAACAGATTCCCGTAAACCTCTTGATATTGTTTTCAATAAATATATAAAAAGAAATCAATAGTTCTAAATTTCACAAAAAGGAAAAATATGTAAAAATATTAAACAGATTTATAGCTGCTGAATCCTATAACAATGCAATATATTTACATATATGTTTATATATATATATATATATATTTCTGTTTATTCCCTTTGAACTTTTATTTGATATGTGTGACAGCACTAAAACTAATCTGTCACTGTAATCTAATCTCCTGCACTGTGCAGATGAAAATTAGTTACAATAGGAATAAATAAACGTAATCCCCATGTTAGAGCTTCACTTTAATGGTGGCATAAACAGTTCTGTATATCCATGAAGTACGGTAGATATCTTAGAATTGTACATAGAATCAAGTTGGTCACAATACTTCCTACTTTAGAGCAAGGACTAAATAGCTTGACTTCCCATTGATAACTTATCGGCAAGATTCCATTGGTGAGGTCTATGTATGCCAGGAAAAGCTCTGGTTGTTGTCAAACTGGTCAAAATTTATTTGACAGAAAAAGGCAGAAAGAGACCATAGACTTATGAGCTGTAGTTATTATGGTACTTAGAACGTCCTTTTATTTTTTTGACCTAGCTAAGAATTACTGCAAGTGCCATAATACGCATCAGTGCTAAGGATAGGCGTTGTTCGTGGAATAGATTTTTATATATTCGCTGGCTAAGCATATTGAGAAATTTAGTTGACAAACTGCAGCCATTCTATGATCAATTATAATTGATTTGCTTAATCATCATCAATAGTTACTTAATATGTCTAGATGTTTGTAGGCCGTAATTCGCATGATTCTCAACCACTGGGTTAAAGGGGACAGACATATCAAAGAAATGTGTAATAGCTAATTAAGCTGCACCTCCAGAAGGTCCCAAAATGTCTGTACTCTGGGCCACTAATCTTTGATCTACATTTCCATGTTTTTCAAATGTTGAACGGAATACAGCAGCACTTCCTAATCCAGTCCTTAAAGCACACCAACAGTCCAGGATTTAGACTTTTCCCAGTTCTGTTCCGATGAAGAGACTGACATCAGGATAAGAATAGTATTACTAGAAAAGGAATTGCAGGGGATTTGCATATAGTTACTGCATTATCAACATTATGGATCTCACTCCAGTGCTTTCATGATGTTAGAACGTTCCATGCCATCCACCAAATCGTGTGCTTTAACACCATTAGGAGAGCATGGAATGTCCTAACATTTTGCTTTTTTAGCACGGTTTAATCCCAGGAAGCCAGGTATTAAAAATGGATACCCGAGGCTCCCCTATGTCAACGGGAGTCATTTTGTATGCATGGCTCAAATTGTGTTTTGCAGACAACCTTTTAAATAAAAAATGTTTTTTTTAAAAGAAGTAAATTCATATTGTTACAACATGGAGTGAACAGGGATAAATCATGTCAGCTGGGGCCATCAATGAGCAGTAAAACCTATTATATTCATTGACAAACCTGTGGTCAAACAATAGCACTTAGCTGTGGTGATTCTGGGCATGCAGGTGCTGAAAAGTGTCTGGCCCCATGAAAAATTTAATTATCAATAAGGAGTTGGGTACAGAAAACAAAAAATAGAAAGTGTAATAGCGCAATGTGGACGCATGTACTGTGACTTTAAATTTACCCATGTGAGTTGTAGCTTTAAATGAATTTGTGTACAAATTAAATTAGAAAAACACTTAATGTCAAATGTGAATGGGGCTGGACTTTGCCATAGACTGACAGATGCATTGTATGCATTGTTAAAATTGTGTGTGGCTGACAGCCTTTTAAATAGATTTTAAATGCCTATTGCTACAGAGTGGTGTGAGTATTTATAAATCCCTGCTCATACAGGGAGATTCAGGTATCAATAAATACCTGGGGCTCACCTCTGTCAGCTGGGGCCACACATAGTGGCTCCAGATTGACTAATAGCTGTATGCAGTGCTCACAATAAGCTCTACATATAGCTCTTTAAATTCATTCAGAACACTTGCACTCAACTGCTGTGATTCTGGGCTGGCAAGTGCTCAAGGGACCCAGGGTCTGAACAGACCATGACAGGGTCTCCCAACATTGCCACAATGCTGGATGTGATCAGTGCTGGACTTTGCCAGCTGCCCAACACAGCTCACAGTGTAGTTGGCGTGCCTGAGATTAATCATTACATGCATCTCCCTGTAATGCTGAAAACAACCAATATATGGCAATCACAAATCACTCTCTACTGTTTTAACTAGAAAACCTATCTGCTAATATAAGTTCTGATATTAGCAGAGGGTTTCCTTAGGGTTAGAGATGAGGTAGACGGAGGGTTAGAGGTAAGTTAAGGGTTATTACTGTGTTACAGTTAATGCTTTTTTAGGGTTAGGAATAGTGTATGGATAAGTACTGGCAAAGTTAAGCCAGGTTTATGGTTAGAGTTAGTGTAAGCATGGCGTTATGGATAGGGTTGGTATAGGGTTAGTGTTAACTACTAAAAATATATTTAGATCTTTGACATATGAGGCATTTAACAATCGGGACTGATACGTGAATCTATTTTAAGCTCTTTTTATTTAGTTGGATGTGTAAAATTATTATAAACAACAATTTTTTCATATATTATTTAGAATTAATGTTGTGTTATATATACATATGAGATATTTTTAAAAAGCCTTTTCTGCTTTTTATCAAGTAAAATATTGTATGTATGGATGCACTTAAAGAAAAACCCTTAAATTACCGTGGAACAAATACAGCACAAAGTCTAGGGTTTGTTTTGGTTCAGAACTTGGACAATTCCCTCCATCCTTAATAGTTTAAAATATTATCAACAATAATTATTATTAAAAATGCAATGCAGTAGTATTAGTCTGCTCCCCTTACAGATTATATACATACTCATTTTTAAAATTTATTTTGTAATAATTTGTCACACGTTGCAAAAACCAAGACTACTACCGTGTTTCTCCGAAAATAAGACCGGGACTTATATTAATTTTAGTCACAAAAAACACACTAGGGCCTATTTTCAGGGTAGGGCTTATTTATTTACGGTACCGGTATGTACATTGAACAACTTTTCTCCACCCCCTTTAATTAATCCACCCCCCTCTTTAATTAATCCACCCCCCCTTTAATTAATCCACCCCCCTTTAATTAATCCACCCCCCTTTAATTAATCCAGCCCACCCTTTAATTAATTCACCCCCCCTTTAATTAATTGACACCCCCCCCTTTAATTAATTCAGTCCCAGCCATAAAATATCTACTCACATT